GATGAGTTCATAATTCCAGTGGTATCCCTTCCCATAGTTGAATACTCATTCTTCTACCTCATTGAAGTTTTGAATCAATTTTGAAATTTGGTCATTTCCATCATTTCGAGTTAATTTGTGTTAATGATTAAATTTCCATCGATCGGATGTGTTGTTGTCAGAAATGTTCACAAACCATAATTCCTCCTAATGTGAAACTATCAATATGAAAAAACAATGCCCAAAACACTGCAGTCTTCGACGTGAATACCCACCAATTTCACTACTTGAACTACAGCGTTTAATTGATTTGGGATGGTTGNCGGGCTTTGGGCTGAAGAAAAATCATCTGAAAGTTGAGAATTTGGTTGAAGGGTGCCGAACGTTTTGCGAGTGTTGTTGATTTGGAAGTGCAGTGGGCGTCAGAGACTGCGATAGCGGCAGTTGAGAGGTGTGGAGGTCGGATACGTACGGCATACTATGATATTAACTCACTGGAGGCTGCTGTGAATCCGCAAAAATGGTTCCTTTCGGGTTGGTTCATATCTCTACGGATGTCTTTGTATGTTCCTTAGGTACTTATATACACATTTAGTTGTATGAATCCATTAAATGCCCGCTTATCAGAAGTTAGTATTTGCATATCGTATTTGGGTTTTCTATCCGCACTTGGTAACTCCTATCTGCTACAATAAGATTAATTGATTCGGTGGCTTAAACGAAAGAATTTTTGAAATAGCAATTTTCTAACAAAGAGGGATATTTTTGTCCAGTATCATTAAGAATGTAACTGAAATATATCCGAAGTTCCGATGAAAATTTTGATCATTGAGTCTCTCTTCAGGGAAACCGATTCCACGTCGCTTGGCGCCACCGGAAAGTTTGCTGGATTACTACACAGATCCACGAAATCGGGGATATCTGGCCGATGAGATGGAAATCCGACAAGAGGAAATCAATTTAGGACAGTTAATGGGATACAATCGTGAAGAGGCGAAAGACCATGAATGGGAACGGAAGAAACCAGATCAAGTGTTCGTTGGACTGGAATGTGGCTCGTTGGTGAGCATGGCAGATCGAAAAGTATTCCTGCCAACGAATCCGGTTCTGAGACGATATTACGGCTTGGATAAAGAGAACGACAAAGACATATTAGCTGATCATCAGTATGCATGAAGAAACGCAAATAGAATTTAGATTTATTCATTCATTCATTCAGTCCGTTATTGAGTTCATTCAGATAATTATTATCAATGCGTTCGTTACATTTGGTGAAAATATATTGATTATAACAAACGATTAAGAATCTATTCACAATGTCAAATTCAATACGTCTCTTTGGAAGAGTAAACTCAAAATTCAAAAAAAAAAACTGCAGCGATTTTTCAAAATCCAATACGCAAACAATGCAAAGCGAATGAATTGCTCGACATTCATAAAATTTACATTCTTTGGAATTACGCAACAATATCAAACCGTAATCGTAATATAAGATAATGAATACTGTCCATCACGAAACACCGTTAATAATGACAATAAGCAAATGCTGTGTATATTCTGTTAACAGATTACATGACAATATATTTTCTGAACAGATTACATTGATAATAATGAACCACAATAAGCTGCATTATTAACGAATAATGATTCCAAAACTTAAATTCAGCAAAGAACAATCAATCTCATAACAAACAGCACAATACAATGATTGCAGTAATACACAATAAGTACAAACGAAAACAACAATAATGACCATAAAATAACAATACTGACAATACAACTGTAATCACATCAAAAACCCAGTCAAATAGACCCTTAATACAAAAATCCGAATCAATAAAGACGAAATGAAACAAGAAATCAGTCATCACAGAGTTGATTAAGAGAACTGGCTCGAGCAATTTTGAATAATCCATCGTTAACGAACTCTTTCAGCAATCGCCCATCACAATATTTTCGTGATTTTGCTAACGAAAATTTTTTGTAGCAAAATGAAACTCTCCTCGTTTGATCCACACCATTGTAAATGAAACGAACAAAGAATTTTGACTTGCCGTCAGCTGATTGGGTCACTGGCTGCTTCATATTTGAATACTTCTTTTCGTAAATCTGCAACAAACAACCAAACTACTGCTTGAACCATAGAAGAGATCTCTTCACTACAAAACTGAACTTCATTTCAGCGCTTCTGTCAGAGAACAGAGCTTTCCTCCTCATATGCTCTATGAAATCTTCACAGCTCAACTACTTGATCGCCAATGTAAATCGCCTGCCATTCCAGTCACCGATGTTTCACAAAATTCTCTATCCAACTTCAAAAACTCTCGAAACAATACTCTTTGAAAAAACCTCCGAACTGATAACATGCCTGAGATTGGAGTTTATTCTGAAGCAAATAATCAGACTTCGGAAATATCTTATTCTAAAATTATACCATTTCAGATTTTCCTTTTGCTCCGATGCGGAAAACGTCTCCGAAAAAAATGAATCGAACAATTCAAAACGAAACTAAATTCAAAATAACCTCAAAAATCAGTCTAGATGTGTATGGCGGAGGTTCACGATGTGCGATACCCAACGCGAAAAGCAACGGACGCAGTGTAACATCGTGTCCGGAGAAAACCCGTAATAAGTTCGTATCACTCTCATTCCTAAAAACACTCATCAACCCTAAAAACCAACGATAACAGAATGACATGCTGATAAAACTTAATGAATAATTTAGAAAAATGATTAATGTAATACACAAATGAATAATATACAATGAGTACAAACTGGCAAAAAATGGTAATGAATGCAGAAAAATCGTAGCGAAAAGAACTGGTAATATAACAATGAATAATAAACAAACAAAAATGTTAATGATTTCTTTACCTGCGCAATTGATCCACCATATTCGATACTGACTGCAGTATCGCAACCGATTCTGCAACTACCAATCNAGTGGTAATACTATAGTAAATTTAATGGCTATCATTAAGTTTGATATAAAATCTATTACTTTAAAAATCACCACAAGGATAACTACTACCTTAACAACG